GTATCAGATGCACCTTAGTCTCCAGAGAGACACCATTGCTCTTCAGTACTTTGGAGAGGTCCCTAACAGCAGACTTTCCCATGGCAATGCGCCTTTTTAATTTCCTGGCTGCTGGTGCCAAGACTGTTGACTACAGAGCCAAGCAAACTGAATTGCTTAGCAAGTATTTATTTTCTCTAATTACATGGGGGGGTGGGGGAATGAATCCAGTAATCCCTATGTCAAAAGCCACTATGTAAAATGGAGATTAAGCATGCCTTTTGGGACCTGGGTAAATAATAACCTGATTTGAATGTTCCTAACTCCACTGCAGCCTCAGGCACCAGGTCCTGAAGGAGGAGCTCAATTTTGTCTCCCACAGGGCGGATCCTCAGGGAAGGGGACGACACTGAACCACTGCTCAGATCTGGACCTGGTCCTGTTCTTGAGCTGCTTCTCCAGCTTCAGAGACCAGGCGAGGCTCCGAGAAGACGTCATCGACTTCATCAAGGAGAAAATGGATCACTGTAAGAGGAGCCTGGCCTACAACCTGTCACTGGTGTGGCCCAGAGAGGGCACCAGAGCTCCTCGCTCCTTCTCCTGCCAGGTCCAGTCCAAGAAGAGCAGCGATGTAGTTCGAGTGGACGTACTCCCGGCTTTTGATGCTCTGGGTAAAGACAGAGGTGGACTGAGTCTAGAGAAACCAGCCAGGACCCCTCCACCCACCAGGTCTGGGGAAGGTTTGGGAAAGTAGAAACCAGTGAGGAAAGATTAGCGTTTTTCCAGGACGATAGGACCGGAGCTGTGCTTGAGGGTTAAGTCCTCTCATGGACACATGTATGTGCATCTACATCCGGTTGTTGCAAGGGAAGAGGGGTCTTCACCCAACATGGGTTCCTGCTCAAACCAAGGAGGCGGTTTCACCCTGACCCTATAAAATAGTGGTGAGTCGAGTAAGCGCTTCATGCCTTTAGAGTTAAAGACAGAACTAGGTAGAAATAATTTTTTATGCAATTAACCAACCTGCTAAAATGATTAAGTCAGTGACACTTCCCCATTCTTAATCCAAACCATCTAGCATGCCCAAATAAGCAAAGGCCAGAAGTTTATTTGTAATTCAGTTATTTTGAACCTTAAAATGCTCTTTCCCACAGAAATAAACCCCCCATATGCAAGCATTCATTCATTTTCTAGAATCTTCCATAAGCCTCTAACAATTGGAATATTCATTAAGTACAAATGGAAGGGATCTGTAGAAAAAGAGAGGAAAAAACCCCTCTATTAATAATCTCTACTATTACAACTAATCTCTACTACTACTAATCTCTTAATCTGGAGTAGGACAGCTCTGCCTTTTTGTGATAAACACATACGTGGGAATTAGCAGACTCAGTTATCGGTAATTTAATCTTGTGTTTTGTAAACTTCCCTCTTAAAAATGCAATGGCTCATTTTTTTAACATTAATTAGGGTCTTTATTAGTTCAGATATTTTGTCATTCTGACTTGATAGGAAGGGAATACTGGTGGATTGTTGTTGTTCGGTGCCATTGAGGGGAGTACTACCCATAGCGACCCGGTGAGCAACAGTTCTGAGCCCTGCCCTATCCTGTGCCGTCCTCACACTTCCTGACACAGTAGAGCCCATTGCAGCAGCCACCGTGTCATTCCATCTGGTTGAGGGGAAAATGAAATAGTTCTTAAAAAAAAACCACCAAAAAACCCAAAACGAACAGAATTCTTGTTTTGTTTTTCTTATAATACACATTTTGTTTTACAACACTCGTTTCAAGGAACACAGTTCTTTTTTTTTTTAACTTTTATTAGAGATTTCATTAAGGTTAATCTCTAAGAGGAACACAGTTCTTAATACTTTGCAAGTATGACTCCAATCCGGACTTTCCAGTTGTGTGGCCTCTGGCAAGCTATTTTTAACCCCTTTAGAGACTCCACTGACAAGCTATTAAATGAAACAAAATAATTTCAAATTGAACCTGAGGCTATTGGACCTATAAAAAAAATGACCACCTCCTGGGAGCTCCACTTAGTTTGACCTACTCCATGGAGCTGTTGTAAGGATTCCACAAGTTTATCCCAGTGCTTGGCATATGATGAGGAGTCTTGTGTCTGTGTTAGGTCTTTAAAAGTCAGATAACATTTGTGTGTGCTACTGAAATATCTCGGTCCCTGGGGGTCGGGGTGGTGTTGAGTACCTGTGAGTCGGAAGCAATCCGTACCTGATCCTCCAGGGAGACATCAGAGGCAGTTAATCACACAGGAGGAAACCTCCCAACCTGCTATCATGGAACAGCTGGTAGATTTGAACTGCATGCCTTCAGGATTGCAGCGCAGATTCTTGCCACTGGCCAGTGCGAGCAGTTTTGGTAGATTATTGATGTGAGAGTTGCAGCTGCAAACTCATCCCCAGGGACTCCAAGGAGGAAAACCTGGAGATTCCATACGTCAAGAAAACCTTATGGAATAGCTCTCCTCTGTTACACATTGGGGTCCCCCTGAGTCTGCATCCACTAGACAGCATTGGGGTTGTGCCTTTTTCTTTCAGTTACCAAACCTCTAGGCCTCCAGCTATTTCGTTATAAGATGGAAAGATTAATAACGCTAGGGTTCAGATCGCATGAGATCATTTATGTAGGCTCTAGGTGCAGAAGACCTTTTCTGTCGTCCTTGTCTCAAAGCGGCTATTTTCCTAACTGGAGACTTTTCTCCTCCCAGGACCCTTTTGTCCAGATAGTAAGCCGTCGCCGGAAATCTATGAAGACTTAATAGCCAGCACCAGATGCCCCGGGGAGTTCTCCCCATGCTTCACGCAGCTGCAGAGGCACTTTGTGAAAAACTGCCCAGCTAAACTGAAGGATCTGCTGCGGCTGGTGAAGCACTGGTACAAGCATGTAAGAACGGGGTGCCTGGCTCGAAGGTTTGGGGGACCACGGGGAGAGAGGGCAGGCGCGTCGCAGCATATTTTTCAAAAGGGAAAAAGAAATAATAGACACAAGCCAGTAGTCCAGCCATTGTTGTTACAGTTAGGTGCTGTTGATTCAGCGCCGAGTCAGAGAGCCTCTGTACAAAACACAGCAAACCTCTGTCCGATCCTGCAGTGACCTCGGTCAGCGCTGTGTGCCTCAGTCCATTTGGTTGAGGGTCGTCCTTTTGTGCTTGCTCTTGGCTTTACCAGGCGTGATGTCTGAGGTCTTTCTCCGGGGATTGGGCCCTCCTGACAGCAGGCCCAAAGCCTATGAGGCAAAGCCATTCTGTTTTTCTTCCTAATTGCACTGATTTTATTTTTTTCTTGTTTTGTATTAAATATTTTTTATTGATTTTTTAATGCAATGTACATATTTTCTAAATAGCATTCAGTTTATTACAAATATTTGGTATTGACTTCCCATATTTACCCCCTTTTGTTTTTATCATAATTATGTTATCATCTAGATGAGCATTTTTTTAAAGAGCATTTGGAATCACATATTTTCCTTTATTTCTTGAGAAGCTTCAGCCATTTTTTTAATTTTTATTTTTTTGAGAAGCTTCAGCCATTTTAAGATACTCTGCAAGATTTTACTTGCATGTGATTTTCTTTTTAAAAAATTTTTATTTTATTAATTTCAATGAACATTTACAGAGATTTTGGATTTCCATTCATTCATTGTTGCACTTTTCTCCCTGCCCACCCCGCCCCCCCAGTTCATTCCCCTCTTTGAAAAGTAAAAGAAAAATTCTTTCATTGGTATATGATCCCTCCACACACACACACACACCCCCACCACCCTGAGTACACTCCACTCTGCAACTTTAATTCTGGACTCCTGTGGTAATCATAATACTCTATCATAGATCGCTTTTAAACTGTTCTCTCCCTCATCTGTTTCAATGCAGTATACGTAATTTATCCAGGTTTCCTCAGTCTTACCCCAACACTGACGTCAGTCCCATTCTACAACAGTGGCACCATGCAATATTTGTCCTTTTGTGACTGAGATATTTCACTCAGCATAATGTCCTCCAGGGTCACCCATTTTGAATAGTATTTCATGAGTTCTTGTTTTTCAATGCAGTGTAGTATTCCATTGTGTGAATATACCACAACTTCTCTATCCATTTGTTTGTTGATGGGCACCTGGGTTGTTTCCAGCTCCTTGCTATTGTGAACAAAGCTGCGATTAACATGGGCGTGCATGAATTTTCTTTTTTAAGAAATTTTATTAATTTTAATGAAAGTTTACAGAGACTTAGGGTTTCTATTCATTCATTGTTGCACTTTTCTCCCTGCCCACTCCTTCCCCCCCAATTCACTCTTCTCCTTGAAAAGTAAAAGAAAAACTCTTTCATTGTTATGCAATCCCTCCCCCCAAGTCCACTCCACTATGTCGCCTTCATTCTGGACTCCTGTCATGACAATAATACCCAATCATATACCCCTTTTTTATATATATATCCCTTTTAAACAGTTCTCTCCCTCATCTTTTCAATGTGGTATACATCATTCCTCCCTTCCTTTTCTGTCTTCCCTCAACCCTGATGTCAGTCCTGTTTTACAACAGTGGCCCTATGCAATATTTTTCCTTTTGTGACTGAGATATTTCACTCAGTATAATGTCCTCCAGAGTCATCCACTTAGCATAATATATTATGAGTTCCTTGTTTTTCAATGCTGCATAGTATTCCATTATGTGAATATACCAGAGCTGCTCTGTCCCTTCATTTGTTGATGGGCATTTGGGTTTTTTTCCAGCTCTTTGCTATTGCAAACAAAGCCACTATATTGCATGTAATTTTAATGATATTGTTAGATAATTTCCACATTCTGTTGAATCACGCTTCTTTGAAATGGGCACTGATATGGATCTCTTGCAGTTAGTTGGCAAGTGACTGTCTTGAAATTTCTTGACGTAGATGAGGGAGCACCTCCAGGGCTGCATCTTTTTGTTGAAGCATTTCAGTTACTGCTTCATAAATCCCTTGAGCTTTGTTTTTCACCCACACTTCAGTGCAGCCTGGACTTCTCCCTTCACTACTATTGATTCTTGATCATGTGTAATTTCCTAAAATAGTTCATTACCAGTCATTTCTTCTTGGTACCATGACACTATGTATTCCTTTCATCTCATTTTGATGTTTCTTGTGTTGTTCTAGGTTTTGCCCATAAACTCCTTCAGTATTGCAACTTCAGGCTTGAATTTTTCCCTGCAGTTCTTGCCGCTTGAAAAGTTCCACTTTCAGAGGCTGTGTTGAATAGCGGGCAAGCTGAATTGTGTGGGTCAGATACTATCATTCAAAGCTGTTTATAAACAGAACGTTAGGCAATTGTGAGCGATAACTTTTGTGTCTTTGTTTCAGCCTCAGCAGAAATGGCACAAGAGGGTGGCTTGAAAGAACAGAAATGATTCGCAAGCAGTTCTAGAAGCTAAAAATCCTATTGAGGGTCTCCATCTCAGTTCTTTCTAAGAGACTCTCTCCTGGGGTTTAATAATTGCCCTCTACCCTTGGTGTTCCTGAACCTTCCTTTGTAAACAGATCTTCACATGGCAATGTATTTCGCCTGCGTGTGTGACTCTGTCTCTGATCTTCTCGTTTGATGTGATTGGGTGTAGGGCCAGCCTACTCTGGTCTGACCTCAGTAGAAGAACAAACAGTCACACTTAAAGGCTTGGGATTAAGATTTTTAACACCAGTTTTGGAAGGACACGTTTAATCCATAACATTATATTATTATTAATATTATTATTATCATTGTTTTTGGTTCTATTACCTTCTGGGAAGCACTGTTTGTAAACATTTTTGTGTGTGTGTACATGATGAAATAGAGAAACTGGAAAATCCCAGGCAGAAATCTCTCTCTCTCTCTCTCTCTCTCTCTGTGTCTCTCTCTTATTCTTTGTCACTGTCTTTTTCTCTCTCTTTCTCAACAGTATGTAAAATGTAAAAATCGAAAAGTACCCTTGCCTTCAAAATATGCACTGGAGCTCCTGACCATCTATGCCTGGGAAATGGGCACAGACAAAAGTGACAACTTCGACATGGACCAAGGCTTGGTCGCCGTGATGGAGCTCCTGAGGGACCACGAGGATGTCTGTGTTTACTGGACCAAGTACTACGATTTCCAAAGCGAGGTGGTCACAAAGTGTATCAAACAGAAGTTGAAGGAACCAAGGTGAGTGAGTGGAAGCCTCAGCTCAAACACTCGAAAAAGAAAAGGGATCGATTTGCCTTGTAACTGAAAATTGAAACAGTGATTATTAAGGGCTGTAAGCCAGATGGTTGCTGTGTCATTATAGTCAGCTCTGCCCCACCCAAGCTTTTGGCTTTGAAGTCAGGCTACTTCTTTCATGACAGTGAAAAGATCAGGCTTCCTATGTGGATTTTAAAAAAACAAGTCACAGTTTTGAGGGAAACTTCAAAAAGTAGCAAGTAACTAGAAAGAAATCTTATTCCACACACTGTCTAGAAACTGTTGGTATTTATATACTAATTTTGCTGATGTATTTGTTTTTTTTTCTATATTTTATTAATTTTCATAAACATTTACAGAGATTTTGGGTTTCCATTCATTGACCGTTGCACTATTCTCTCTACCCTCCTCCCAGTTTGTTCTTGTCCAAATGCCACAGTGCTTGTCAAAGCCAGTTCTGATTAATCTTCTTTGTCAGTGTGTCCTTTGCCATTCCCTATCACTCCTCCCTGAGAGAGACTTCACCCTGAGTCATAAGGAAAAGGGGATGGCGTATTCTCTTAGCTACTTCCTGCTGAAAAGGGACGCTGTGGGTTTCAGGGTGAAGATCTTCTCTCACTACTCTAAAGGGCCCCTTTGGCAGTAGGAAACACATAGACTATTATGGAGATTGATTTTGGAATTTAGATGCACTCTTATTGATTGTGCTTGGCCGTACATGTTCAGATCCTTGAAGATGTATCATGGGGGTGTTGCAACCTAGAAGACACAAATTTGACTAACAAGTTATAAGTACATGAGTCCAAAAATTATGGAAAAGTAAAAGAAAAGATTCTTTCATTGTTTTACAAACCCTCCCCCAGGTCCCCTCCACCATGTAGCCCTCGCTCTAGTCTCCTGTGATGACAGAAATACCTAGTTATATATCTCTTTTAAACAGTTTTCTCCCTCCTCTGTTTCAGTGCAGTATACATTATTGAACCCATCTTACTCAGTCTCTCCCCAACCCCAAGGACAGTCCCATTCTACAACAGTGGCATCATGTAATATTTGTCCTTTTGTGACTGGGATATTTCACTCAGCATAATGTTCTCCAGAGTCAACCATTTTGAATAATATTGCATGAGTTCCTTGTTTTTTAATGCAGCATAGTATTCCATTGTGCGAATATACCACAGCTTCTCTAGCCATTCGTTTGTTGATGGGCACTTAGGTTGTTTCCAACTCCTTGCTATTGTGAACAAAGCTGCAATAAACATGGGTGTGCATATATCTGCTTGGATGTCTTGTTTTTTAGATATATTTTTCTTAAATTGATAATTTTAACTCTTGAACTAATTTCTAAGCTTGCAGTCCTTGCATGTGTAAATTTTGTCTTAAAGAATTTTTTTAAATTGTATTATTTTTACATGTACCGTCAAATCAGATCTGACTGGTACAGGAGGAGATTGCCCCCTCCTTCTCCAGCAGAGCATCTGGTGGATTTGAACCGCGCACCTCTGGGACTGCAGTGCAGCATCTTGCCACTAGGCTACCAGAGCTCCCTTGTCTTAAAGAGTTTTTAATAAAGACTTAAAGGCTAAAAAAACCCAACAACAACCCAGTGAATAACGGCAACAACAGCCAACACTATCGCCTCCAACTCACAGCAACCCCTCCACGAGGTTTCCAAGGCTGTAAATCTGAACAAGAGGAGATTACTGGTTTTTGTGCCAAAGAGCAACTGGTGAATTTGAACTCCCAGAGACTGGCAACCCTCTGGTTAGCAGCTATGGATTACACCACCACAACCCCTTCTCGTGACACGCTGCTGTTGGGTGCCTTCGAGTCAGAACCACCCCACAGCCGACCCTCCAGCGAGTTTTCAGAGGCAGTAAATCACACGGGAGGAAATTGCCCATCTGTCTCCCACAGAGCAGCTGGTGGATTCGAACTATGTACTTTTGCGTTGACAACATGACTTCTTACCATTATGTCTCCAGAGCTCCCTTTTATATAGATATATACCATCTAGTGTATCTGTAGGGAGCTGTGGTGGCCTAATGGCAAGAAGCTGCACTGTAATCATGAAGGCATGCGGTTCAAGTCCACCAGCTGCTCCACGGGGGAAGGATGGGCAGTCTCCTCCTGTGTGATTAACTGCCTCTGAAAACCCACTGGAGGGTCAGCTATGGGTCAGTTCTGACTCCATGGTACACAACAACCTCAGCATTATAAGCAAAAGTTCTAAAATAAAGCTTGATTGTTCCAGGTTGGGTTATATCCCGAAAGCAAGAGATTCAGTGTTCAGGAAGTCCACCCGCCCCAGAAACAGACACCATCCGCCTCCTCTGAAGTCCGAGGGCCAGAATGATGAATGTGGCCCTGACTCGCCCCTTCTCTCCCACAGACCCGTCATCCTGGACCCAGCTGACCCTACCAATAATTTGGGGAAGGGGAAGAGGTGGGACTTGGTGGCCAAAGAAGCTGTGCGTTGCTTACGTCAGGCCTGTTGCCAGACTGAAGACCCCAGCCAGAGCTGGGAGGTACAGGTAGGACCTAAACCCAGTACTAACTCAGTGTTGTCTTCACTTTGACCCCACGGCAATCTCTCAGAACTTCTACCACAGGACCCACAATTCCACTGTACAGGCAGCACCTTCCCTGGAGATCTCCCAGTCAACCAGGGGTGCCATTTCCCCCTCCTGAAGATGGCTGGGCCTCGGTTTTTTCCCTCTGGAAAATGGGCCTACAATGTCACCTCTGATCTGTATGTAGCCGGTTGAGAGAGAGACTTGAAGAATTCACTCACATCCACCCGTCCTGTGAGCGAACATTTCCCATTTTATGGATTGTCAAAACCCCAACTTCCTGCAGTTAAAATAGATTTCGTAGCTGTCTCCAAAAGCAATACAAGAATAGCACAGGGTTCCACTGCAGACGAGAATGAAAGGGTCACAACTGTCCCAGGTCTGAACATTGCATAAGACATCAGGTTCATCTACCAGAACTCTGTATGTGCCTTAAGCATTTCATTACCCTTATCTGTTAATCTGACAGGGCCCGAAATTCACATCAGGCAGGGAAATTCCGAACCTGTCTGCAAAGGCAGCCCTGGAACACCTAGAACTAGTTAGGTACCCAGAGCAGCAGAAGGGCCCACGGCCTTGCAATGTCCTATTGGCTGTGAACACACAGCCAACCAAGGGACCCTGGTGGCAAGAGTCCCCAAACCGGCCAGTGCTTCCAACTACGGTGACAATTCCCATAAGCTTTATTTTTGTTATTATTTTGCATTTCATGAAAAGAGGGCACACGTTCCTAATAGTTAAAATATCAGCAGTTGAAAGATACGTACACAATGGTAAAGTCCTCTTTGCATCTCAATTCCCTGACTCCAGTTCTAGACCTCCCAGCCGTCCACCGGTCCACTGCTTCTATGGGTATGCCATCCACATTCAGCCTCTTGCCTGTGTCTGGGCATCCTGATTTTTGCACATTTTTTACTTAGATAATCAAGCTGTTTAATAACTGAATTATCTTAGAGACAATTCCACATGCAAACCTAGTAAGTATCATTGTATTACATAAACTTCATACCAAAATACTTTTGAGTGTGAAAGGGGGGGTTTGATATTAACAGCCAGACAATAGACATAATTGCTCCACAATTATCCTTTTTTCGAATGAATCCTTTTAATAGCTGTATGGTGTCTAATGTGTGAAGATACCTTCATTTCTATGACCAGTGCTCTTCAGGACACTTTGCGATTTTGACCATCGCAGTGGACATCCTTGACTATGTTAGTCTTTGCACACTGGGATCAGGGCCTCACATATGTGAAATAATTTATCCTCACACTAGCTGGATGGTGCTGTAGTACTGTTGTTCTGTTCAAGGAGCCGGTGAGGATTCTGAAGTAGTATAAGAAGAAATCATTGGGCGATCCCTTGGCAGCTGTGACCTCGTTAGATTGAGTTGGAAAAACCAAGGACATGCAAGCATCAAACTGTCAAATGTCCTGCTTTGCCTGGGAGCCTCAGTTGATGCCTGAAGTTGAAGATAATTGTTTCTAGTAACTCCTTTTACATTTGTTTTGGTGTGGTTTTTTTCGTTTTGTTTTGTTTTGTAAGTCTTGTGTCCTGATGTTGTTGTTAAGTCCATTAGGTCAAGTACATCTCACCGTGACCCTGAGAACAACAGATCTGAGCCCTGTCCTGTCCTGTGCCGTCCTCATCATCTCTGACACACTTGAGCCCATTGCTGCAGTCACTGTGTCAGTCCATTTCGTTGAGGGTCTTCTCTTTTAGTGACCCCCCCCACCTTTGCAAGCATGCGAAGAGTATCATCTCTTAGCAATATATCATTCCAAAGAATATCATCTTCCAGCAGCATGCCCAGAGTGTCTTGACAGGGTGGTAAATGATATCAATTATATGACTGAAAAACTTTGGAGGAAACAGGTAGCCGTGACTATCCAGGGAACTCCATCTACCCTTCCCTTTCAGCGAGCAAGAGATGTCCGCGTGACGGTGAGAAAGACGGGCGAGTACAACTTGACTTTGTTCGTGAACCCCTACAGCCCCGTTTGGAAGATGAAACCAATGATTAAGAGTCATTATGGACTCACAGGGCAGCAGCGTCTCTCCTTCCAGAATCCAGATGGGGACCGGCAGCTTCTCAGCAGCCAACAAACCCTTGCAGATTTTGGGATTTTCTCTAAGGTGAGCATCAGAGTCCTTGAAACGTTCCCCCCTGAGATCCAGATCTTTGTGAAGGAATTGGGCGGCCAGAATAAGCCTTATGCCATTGACCCTGATGACTCCATCTGGGACTTGAAAATGATGATTGAGTCGGCCGGGGGGCCTTTATTGGAGGACCAGATACTCAAGTTCCAGGGTCGGCGACTACAGAATCGTCGCAGCCTCAGAGACCTGCAGATCGAGGACTGTGACACCGTCACGCTTCTCAGGAAAGGCGGTCCCTGGGTGTAGCTGTGACGGGGATAAACATTTCTCAAGTCCCCTCACAGTTCTGTCTCCCCCTTCTACTACCCCTTTCTCCCAAGACCATCGGGTTATTTTAAACCATAAATACAATACTCTGTAGTGTTCCAGTGATTCATCATTACCTGGAGAAGAAAATTCAAATTCCTTTACTTGGTTTTTAACGGTCCTTGACAATCTCGCCCTCGCTTGCATCTTTATAGCCTCTCTGTCTTAATAACTAGAGCTGCTCACACAGAACGGGGACCGGAGGATGACTGTTAACCACAGAAACGTACTCTCACATTTTAGGAGGCTAGAAGTCTGCATTCAGGGAGCTCTCGTGACCTAGTGGTAAGGAGTCTCACTGCCAACCCAAAGGCAGGCGGTTTGAATCTCCTAGCTGCTCCCAGAGAGGGAGAAAGATGGGCGGTCTCTTCCTGTGTGAGGTAGATCATAGATCAATAGTAATTCTAAACAATACAATGTATATTAATGATCGTACTAAACACAATGTAAATGAAAGATTGTCTAATTGAACATGAATGGAACACAATGTGAATGAATTATTACTGTATGCAAACCAATAAAAAAAAAAAGCCTCCGGTGGAGGTTCATCCTGTGAGTGGGTTTTGACTCCACAGTGGGGGACAACAGCACCAAGCTCCAGGGGGCGCCTGGGAGCCTGTCCCTTCATGTCAGCTTCAGAAGGTCCGCATCTCCTTCCAATGCCTGTAGGCCCTACTTGGGTTTCTTTCTCTTCTCTCTCTTTCTCTCTCTCCCTCTCTCCTCTCTTCTCTCTCTCAGTGTGTGTGTTGATCTTCCCCTGGGTCAAGGAGGAGCTTCTCAGAGCAGTGACTTCAGGGCCAAAGGACAAGTTCATGGCCCTATTTTTCTTTCTTTTTTTTTTTTTAAATTATACTAGTTTATTTACAAAATTCAAATACCTTGTTTTTCAGACCAAATACTTTGAATTTCCCTCAACCTCCTCCATCAAATTGTACTATCCCATGATTAATTCAGACACACACACACACCCTACACATCCTCATTCCTCTGCTTCCCCGCCTTGGATCCTCATACTCCTTCTTCAATAATGGTTTCATACAATATTTGTCCTTGTGCGACGGAGTCAGATCACTCAGCAGAATACTCTCCAGGTCTCGTTCCAGCCCACACCCCTGAACAATGCTCCTGACATCAGGTCAGAGCTATGACTGGCTTTAAGGGCTAGAATGTCACCTTAATCCTTTTAAAATCAATTCATTTCTCAAATCTCAGGACAATGATTACAAAATCGCCACGTTCCATCATTGCAAAATTACTGAGAATCCGGATCCTGCCAAATGGGTGTATATTTAGGAGAGGACGCGATTCAATCCAAGACTCTCCTCACGCTCAAAACAACCTTTCTCCGCATGATGTCGTCTCTCATCCCTGGAGTCAGAGCTTCTCTCACCCCCTCAGTATTGCTACTCTCATCAGATAACTTTACCACTCTGGCTGCACCTCATTGGACCAGCTATGGCCATGTGACTCAGGATAAAATTGATCTAGGCTAAGACAAGCCTCTTGACTTTGAGAGACTGTTGTTTGTTGTGGTTAACAAAGAACAGACCAAGGTCATGAAAACATTACAGAATCAAAAAATATATCCACCAGGTGCTCTGCTGGAGAAGGAGGGGCAATCTCCTATACCAGTCAGATCCGATTTGACGGTACACATAAAAAAAAAAAAAATAAAATAAAAAAAATTTCTTTTTTTCTTGGTTCAAGTAAGAAACCAGAAGAGATTAATAATAGTCTCATATCTCACTAGTGTTGTTGTGATGTGCCATCAAGTCACTTGCGACTCATAGTGACCCTAAGTACAGCGGCTTTGACCCCTACTCTATCCTGAGCCAATCTCACTATCTCCAACACACCCACCGCCATTACCCCAGTCACTGAGTCAATCCATCTCATCAAGGGTCTACCCCTCTTCTGCTGTCTTTCCACCCTCCCAAGCATGATGTCTCTTTCCAAAGACTGGTCCCTCCTGGCAACATGCCCCGAGTATGTCAGACGAAGCCTCAGAATCCTTGCCTCCAAGGAGAAGCCTGGTTTCACCCTTGCTAAGATGAACCTGTTTGTTCTAGCAGTCCATAGTACATTCAATACTCTTCTCCAGCATCATAGCTCAAAGGCTTCTATTCTCCTATCATCCTACTACTACGGGTACACAGTGCACATTGGTTGGCCTATCCAACAGCATAGCTCAAGCCCTTTCCACCATGGTAAAGAACGTTGTCCTGTTATATCTAAGGTCACCATGAATTAAGACAACTTGATGCCATCTAATAAGAAAAGCCACTCGCCAGAGTCCAGAATTATCTAACTTCAGGCATAGCTGGATCAAGAAGCACCAGTGTGCCGCCCAGAGAGTTTTGGCTCTCTTATACCTGGTAACATATCAACTCAAAACACCCTTTTGTTTGCTCATGACTGCGGCTTGGCTGAGCGGTTTTTCTGATCTGAGTTGGCTTCCCTGAAGCAGAAAGCCTACAACAGGCTCTCTCACATGTCTGGCAACTGGCTGGACAGACAGGAATGACTTGACTAAAGTGTTTTTCTTCTTAAGCCTCTGTCTACATCAAGTTGACTAGTGTTTCTGGTCAAAAGAAGGCATGCGGTCAAGCCTTAATCCCCATGGCTCTTCAGTCAAAGCGGAAATCACACGGAGGGAGATTGCCCATCTTTCTCTCAAGGATCCACTGGTGAATTCAGGCTCCAGAGACGTGTTGCCTTGAGGTTAAAGAGTGCGAGTTCCCCATAGACTAAGCCACCAGAGCTGCCCAAGCTCCATCAAGGGCTGGGAAAGAGGCAACTTCTGTTGCCTTGGAGAAAGTGCAACCATGTATTCCTTAAAGGCAAGGATGGTGACACTTCATCTCGGATACTTTAGACATGTCCTTGGAAACAGACATCATGCTCAGAAAGGTGCAGGGTCAGCGGATGAGAGGAAGACCCTCAACAAGATGGACTGACACAGTAATTTAACAGTGGGCTCAAGTATATCAGATAATGAGGCTGGTACAAGATACGGCTGGGTTCAGATCCGTCTTTCATAGGGTGGTATGAGTCATACTTGACTCCATGACATCTAAGAACAACATTTCTTGCCTGCAAGTTGAGTCATGGGAGTCACTTTAATTTCCTGAAGGGTAACTAAGGGACGTAGTCTTGGGGCTCCCACCAGTCTCTCTCAAACCAGCAAGTCTAGTCTTAAGATTTTTGTTTCGTTTTGCTTCATGTTTTTCTCCCACTCTGTCTAGCACTTTCTATTATGATCCCTCTGAGAGCAGTCAGCCATGGTAACCGGGCACCACCTAGAGTCACAGAGATTGAAGTTCATGGGACCCGGTAATTTGAAGGGCTTACGCTGGAGGGTGACACAGGATAGGGCAAGGTTCGCACCTGTTATTCATATGATCGCTATGAGTCATACTTGACAGCACCTAATGATAACACTTGTCAATAAAGAGGGTGACCTGTCCCTTCAGATCCCATAACCATTCTTACCGGAGATGGAAAAAGTAATCACCAGCTTTACATGGAAAGGAAAGAGACCCGAGATAAATTGACTTGAGTTTGATCATTGTGGAGGCAGCTCTGTCAGTCAATCAAAAGCACTACTTTCTACTGACAGAAGAAAAACAAAGGAGATGGCCTTACACTTTCCTGATCTCGAAACGTACTATGCAGCCACAGTCATCCAAACAGCTTGGTGCTGGGACAGGGACAGATACATAGACCAGTGGAATAGATTTGAGAGCCCAGCAGCAAATCCTTCTGCCTGTGGGCAATATGGTCTTTGAAAAGAGAGGAAATCTATGAAGTGAGGAAAAGACAGCCTGCTTAACAAATGTTGCTGGCCAAACGGTGCTGGAAATCTATTTGCAGGAAATTGAAACAAGATCCCTACCTCACACTATATGCAAAAACGAATTCAAGATGGGATCAAGGAATTAAGTGTAAAAGTTGTGGAGTAGCTAAAGGATTCAAACTGCCAACCGTTGGGTTAGCAGCCCGATATATTATCACACACTGCTTTGCTGCAATCCCGAAGGTACACAGTTCAAGGCCACCAGCTGCTCTGTGGGAGAAAGATGGGCAGTCTCCTCCTGTGGGATTAACTGCCTCTGAAAACCCACTAGAGGGTCGGCTATGGGTTGGTTCTGGTTCTATAGTGCACAACACAACACCCCCCAAAAAAACTCTTAAAGAAGGCTTAATTATAGGGCCATGCAGTTTGATGGTTAGAGGGAGGTGTTGGTAAAGGAAAGGGGGAAAGTCTGGTGTGAGAAACAATGTATTTGAATTTCATGAATTTGTGTGCAAACCAGTATAAAATAAAATTTAAAAAAAAGAAACACCATAATACCCTATCATATATCACTTTTAAACTAGTCCAGAATTAAGGTTGCAGAGTGGAGTGTACTCAGGGTGGTTTGGTGGTAGGGAGGAGTGTGGGGGGGTTGTATACCAATGAAAGAATTTTACTTTCAAAGAGAGGAG